TTGAGCCAAGTGATTTGTATTGTATGATGGCCCGTCCGATCAACACTCTGCGCTTCTCGCCATCGACAGCTCCAGCGTAATTGTGGTTAAATGGCGTATTTATGGCAAGATGCCAGATGTAGTTAGTTGTGTTCAAATGTGCACAACGCCACACTTGGTCAGATTCCATGTTCTGCGCGCTGATTGGCGCATTGAAATTGTCTTTTTAGCCAATCCAGGACGGTCGACGGTCGGCAGCAGCTCAATGAGGCAGGTCTTGGTGCTTGGGAACGGCGCCGCCGGCGCAGAGAAGCAAGCGCTCGCTCTCGCCGCCAAGCTGCAAGCGGCGATCCGAAGCCTCGATGCGACGCAGCGCGTTGCCCTCACCATGGCGCGCGTGCCGTACACAAAAGCCTTTGTCCGAGTCCCACCGGCAGCCCACGTCGCCGCCGCCAGCTTGTTCCAGCGCCATGGCCTGGGCTACGCGCCGCCACTACCAACGCAGCACGTGCCCGACATGGTTGTAGGCTGTGGCCGCTCGACGGTTGCGCTCTGCGCCGGCCTCAAGCGCGCGCACCCGTCGCTCTTCAACATTCAGATCCAACACCCGCGGTAGGCGTCTCGAGGCCTTCTGGTCTGCTCACCCGGCTCGTTGTGGCAGCATCGACTTGGCGCACTTTGATGCTGTGCTCGCACCGCAGCACGACTTTGACGCTGGCGCCATCTTGCCGTCGCATGTCTACGCGACACCAGGCACCATCACCGACATTGATCCCGACGTCCTCGATGCGTGGGAGGGTACCGAGCCGTGGACGCAGTGGCCAGGCCCTGCTGTTGCGCTGCTCGTCGGGGGCTCGTGCCGTGGCTACACTCTCACAATCGGTGTGTCAGCTCTATACCTTGAGTGTTTCTTAACCCGCCGGATACATGTAGATCGCGCCAAGGCTCTCGTCGCGCAGCTGCAGGCGCAGTGGTCGCCAACCACTTCTCTCTTTGCGACCTTTTCGAGACGCACACCGTCGTCGGTACGTGAATACTCTTGGTCCTGAGCACATTGCTGGGAAAGGTTGGGATGTAGGTCCAAGCGTATTTGCACGAGGCGCTGCCACTGGCGTTTCCCCGGCTCGTTCTCTACGACAGCAAGGGCGAGAACCCGTACGTAGGCTTTTTGAAACACGCCACCTATATCGTGACGACGCCCGACTCAGTGTCCATGACGACCGAGGCACTCTGCACGCAGAAGCCCGTCTTTGTATTTGACGCAGACCGGTGCACGGTAGGTTGTTATGCAAAAGCCATCACCCTTGAGCTCGGGGTAGGGTAAGTTTCGCCGGTTCCACGACGCATTGCCGACGCAGACGTGGGGGGCGCCGCCGAGTGACGTGAAGTCGTCTCCATTCGAGTCTCTGCCTGCCGATGTGGTCGAAGGGATCGCGCACCGAGTCCTTGAGCGATGGCAGACGCGGAAATGCGATTTTTCCCCATGAGTTTTATAGCGCTGCGACGGTGGTCTGTCGTAGAGAGACTGGTAGCTAGTATAGTGGAGTCGCAGTGTGTCTAATATGGCTACTGTCTTGCGAGGAATACACCATGTGGGTAGTTTGGCGGCGCTGCAATCGAGCACACTCGAGCGACAAAATCGCTGAGAAGCAATGACCGATCCAGAGCCTAATCGAGCGCACGTGGGCTCCATTTGTCCCATTCTACATGGAAGGAGCGACGGAGCTTGTGGCGCTCGACCTTCCGGGCCACGGCCGCATGAGCGCAGACGTCGTTGGCAGCTACTACTACATTGACACTGCGGCCATCACGGACGTCGTTGCGACGGCGCTGACGCTGCTGCCACCTGCTCGATTTCTTCTCGCGGGACACTCGAAGAGCGCCCACTACGCGCTGCACGTCGTCGCGCAAAGCGATGCAGTCGCCGGCCTCGCCCTCTTGAACCCGATGGATCTGCGCGTCCAGAGCTGCAACCAGCCGACATTCGAGTTTTGGTTTGGCGTCGTCATGCGCCGCTGTGGTAGGAGTCCCAATTTCATGACTCTACGGAACCGCTCCATATAGGTCAACAAGATGCCCTCGATCTCTGAGATGGCGTTTGCCGTCGCTTTATACCGAACGACGACGCCGACACGCTTCGTCGTCAGAAATTTCCCGTGCTGGTGGCGCTCATGGCCGACGACAAGGTAATTGAAGTTGAGATTGGCCACGAGCTCGCAGCGGCGCTTGGCGCGACGCACGTCACAACCTTCGAAAAGGACGGCCTTACCATCGCCAAGACCCAAGTCGATGGGGTCGCCGCAGCCCTAAACGCGTGGGCCAGTATCATCGCCGAGACGGACTCGCCAGATTCAGCCATTGTCGACGCGTGATGACACTGACCAGCACACGTGAAAAGCCTGACGATTGTGGTGTACGATTGTGGTGTTACCGAACACGTTATCTGTGGGTCATGATCCATCTATTAATTGGACCACGACCAGATGAATGAGGGAGATCTCCAATCTCAACGACGGCGCGAGCCAGGGTTGCTGTGGAACAGAAAGTCATTTGGACGGAATGGACCCCGCCTTGTGTTGCTAAGTTTTGCTGGTTGTCCATTGTACCGGTAGCACATGTTGCTCATATACACATGTTGCTCATACGACGGCACGTTCGAAGCGCGGTGTCGACATCACGGGCAGCGCACCCCTTGGCGCAATCCCAGGTGGTGCCATGCCAGAGTGATGGTCACTCCATTTCCACACTCCACTTTGCACATTTTCAATTCGTACAACTCTAGATGACTCGTGCGCTGCGCCTGCCCATGACCTTTTTCCGGTCGCCGCGCCTGGCGGTGCATCGGTACGCCCGCGTTGACGCTGCGACGGACGCCTCGGTGCTTGCGGGCGTCGCACCGCTTCTGGTAACCGCACCATTGACGTCGCTCGCGGTGACGGCGGATGAAATCTCGGTCGTGTTGCCGGCCACGGTGCCGCTGCCGACGGCGCCCAGTGCGACCGAAGACGGCTGGGTCGCCTTCAAGGTCGAAGGGCCGCTCGACTTTGGCCTGACGGGGATTCTGTCGGCGCTCACGGCGCCCTTGGCGTCCGTCGGCATCCCGGTCTTTGCGATTTCGACCTACGACACCGATTACATTCTCGTCAAGCACGACAAGGCCGACGCAGCCATCGACACGTGGACGACGACCGAAGTTGGCGTCATCCGGTCCGCGCCCGAGGCTTGATTTTAATGGTCGAACGGAGACTCGTTGTCAGGGCTCTGTGTGTCTATTTCGTCTACAATTTCTTGAGCAACGGTACCGTTGGTCGGTGAAAACGTCGGCGCGTAACGGTGTTTGGATGGATGGGTGCGCCTGCCTTCGGCCTCGAGACGACATCCACGTACTACACGCAGCGACGTCGATCGTGCTTTGCTGACGAGCGCACTAGGCTTGTGGTATGGCAGCGTGGTAAGCTCATCGGCCATGGACGCTTTGGCAAGGTCTACGTCGGCATCCTCCTTGCAAGGTACTGCTAAAAGGTCAACACAATCCAAGAATCGTTCTTTGTTGCACAGTGCGACGATGGTAGCTGTCAAGCAGCTGCGGATCCAAGGCCATGTCTACGACGACGACGAGGTCGATACGGCTGCCACTCATGGCGCCGAAGTCGCACTCGCCAAGATCGAGCAAGAAGCTGCTATCGGACAGGCCTTGCGTCATCCCCATATCGTCCAGTACTACGGCGCCCGTACGACTCGATTTCGTCGTCACCAAGTCACCGACATACATTAGAACGTGAAGGCGGCATTTACAGCCTCTTTATGGAGTATCTTCCGATGGGGTCCGTGCACAGGTAGCGCTCCGAATCAAGATTGTTCTGGCGTCACGTGGTTCGTAGTTTGCTCCAGACGTTTGGGCCGCTCGACGAGTCGATCGTATGCGTCTACACCTCGCAGCTGCTTCGTGGTCTGCAGTACTTGCACGCGATTGGACTCGCGCACCGAGACATCAAGTGTGCGAATCTTCTTCTCTCGGACAGCGGCTGCCTCAAGATAGCCGACTTTGGCACAGCGAAAACGTCCGAGCTTGACCCGAAGGACGGAGAGGTTGACGACGAGCTCTTTGCTACTGTGGGGTACGTCTCCAGCGCCATCTTGTCGGCTCACGACTTGACAGGTCCGTGCGCGACGGCATTGGATCCCCCTTTTGGATGTCGCCGGAGATCATTCGAGCCGAGCTGGGCGCCGACGCCTGGACAAAGTCTGATGTCTGGAGTGTCGGGTGCTGCGTTGTAGAAATGGTGACAGGCGAGCCGCCGTGGGTGCGTCTCCAGCGCGTACGGGTGCAATCACCCATATTTTTGCGCTAGAATACGTTTTCAAATCCGCTCACCGCCATGTTTCACATTGCGTCTGAGACGTCGGCGCCAGTGCTCCCGAGCCACTTGTCCCCCGTGGCGCACGATTTCGTCATGGCATGCCTCACCAAGGACCCTGCACAACGACCAACGGCATCCATGCTGCTCCAGCACGCCTTTTCCACCCGCTTCCGCGGTCATCGAGCCACTATGGCTGGTTTCACAAAGAGACGTCGGTCGAGCCGGATGAACCGGGCGCCTGGTATCTCTATTACGACTGGACGACCAACGCGTACGAGTACGCGTACTACATCGTCGACGACGGCGGCTACTGGGTGTACCGAGTGCACGGCGCGTGGGACTGGCTATTGTTTCCGCTGTCGAGTGTTGTCGAGATTGCACTTTGGTGGCTCGCGGCGGTTCGGTTTCTGCCCCCGGATGAGGTACTGTGGGACGACGCTGACCCCAATGCGTCCGTGTACACCGTCTCGAGCCCTGTGCCGTATGCGTCCATGCCTGAGCTCACAACCGAAGAGCCACACGTGCCTACTACGAGCAATCCAACACCAGAGCTGGCTCCCGATGAGACCATCGACGCCACTACATCATATGTCCGCGTCCTCGCGGACTATGCAACGACGACCGAAGGGGAGCTCGCGCTGGCCGAGCACGAACTGATCGTTGTCAAAGCCATGGACGACAACGGCTGGTGGCTCGGGCACAAGGCGGACGATCCGAGCACGGCTGGCTGGTTTCCGTGCACGTACGTCGAGTGGATGTCGGTGCCATGCCTCGGCGTCGCTCGGGTGGTCGTCGAAGCCACGCCACGCCAAGATGCACCGATATCGCTGGGATTGCAGGATCTTGTGGTAGTTGCAGAGGTCAGCGACGACTGGTTACGGGGACGCTCCGTCGATGGCCAAGACACGGGGTGGGTCTTGGCAACGACTGTCGAGTGGTTGCCCCGGGTGGTTTGCCAATGGGCGTACGTCGCCAGCCACGAAGCCGAACTGAGTTTGACGCCTGGAGACGTTGTCTATGTCCTTGGCGGCGACGACGACCAAAACATTTGGTGGGAGGGCTTCAACCCTACCTTGAATGCCCGTGGGTGGTTTCCAACGACCCACGTCCAGACAGACACGACGGGTAGCGACCAAGGCGACCAAGACGATGATGTCGACGACGATGATGCGGATGCTATCGTTGTCGTGGAGCAGGACCTCGTATCATTGTCGTGAAAATATATCTATAAACTATCTACATGGTGTAAATGTCGCCGTCGTTGGTCGGCATCGACAACGCGAGGGCGGGTTCCCACGCACGGTCGACGCCTTCCGCCTGCGCAAGGGCACACAGCTGTGCGATTGTCTCCCGCGAGTTCTTTCCTTTGAGCGCCCGGCCGTCCGGAAGGTAGTCGACGACGTGCACGAGTTTGTGGCTGGCGGATATTTGCAGCATCGAGAGCATCACTACAGACATGGTCAGAGGAGGCTTTCGAAGGTCGTCTACCTTGGCGAGCCATCCACGCATCCGTCGCGGCATAAACGATCTGCTCCAACGAGAGCTCTGGGCACTCCCAGTCCGAAGTTTGCATCGCCTTGTCGATGCGCAGGCTTTGCCAGATGAGTCCCAAGGCCGCAAGGTTGGGCTTGAGACACCCGATGCCGGACGCAACAGGCAGCGTGTCGAGCGTCGATCGAATCACAGGCGCGATACCGTCCTTCTGGATGCCCTGGAAGTCCGACTTGCAGCCATGGCCGATCTTGACAATGTTGGCGTCGGCAAGCAGCGCCTGGAGCGCAGGAAACGCCGGCTGGATAACCGTGAGGCCGTCTATACAGATCTCTTTATCGGTTGGCATATCAACAGCAACGCATGCGTACCTTGCGCTGAGGTGTATCGAACACGGTACAGCAGTGAGAGGTCATGGCTAGCGACTTGCACCATGGCGACGGGCGGGTCGTACCGGCCAAACATTTGGGGCCGCGACTCGCAGTCAATGCCGACGACGCGCATGGACGCAAGCGCAGTAGCGAACGGTGCTTCATCGTCCGGCATCGTAATGATGTGGATGGGTCCCGGAAACTGCCCCGTGGCAACCGCGACGTAATCCAAGAGCGATCGGGCGCCAAACGTTTTGCCAGCGACGCTGCCAGCGCGAAAGAGCGGCTGCTGCAAGTAGTCGAGCGATTGCTTGCGCGCGTTCTTCTTCTCCATGGCCGCGGCCCATCGGCGCTGCCGGCCTTCGTCGCGCGACGGCTCGCCACGTATCCGGCGAGATTCGTCGTCGAGAACGCGGTCGATTGCCTTGAGGCTCATGGCACTGCCCAGGCTGAAGGCATCGCTGTCGTCGACATACGACGGGCGCCCCGCGCGCTTAGCGCCTCGGCGGCTGGAGAACGTCCGAGCGAACCCGAGCACACTGCGGCGCGCCAGCATCGTTGCCATCGATTTCGCGAGATGCCCATGGCCCCAATCAAAACTCACAACATCGCCCTCTATACCCAATCAAATTGGGCTTCGAGTTGTATTTCAGCCAATCCAGGAACGATTGAATCTCTTTATTCCCTCTTTTCAAGGGGAAACATCTCTTTCCGAGAGAAAAGATTGGATACGGATTGGTGAAAATGTGTATTGCTTCGCCAATCGTCGTGCACTATTTTTAAAATGCCAGCCAATCCGCATCGAACTGGGCGTGATCTTTTTGCCCAATGGCATCAAGCACAGCCGTTTCGACCCGAACGTTGACCTGGCATGGCTGTGACCCATGAGGTCCGCAGCGAAGAAGCTCAGCTCCAGGCGTTGCAGAGGCTCGATGAAGAGTGCGTCCAGCTACAAGTTCAGGTAACAAGGCTCACGGCCGCTCATCGTAGTATCATCCACCGCTGCTCCGAGTAGGGCAACTACGTGGCAGCGCTCGAGTGCATGGAGCGAGCCCTCGTACTGCGCCGCCACTTTTTTGGCTTGCTAGCCCCGAGGTAGCTAGTTACTTGGTCGAGCTATGTGACATGGGTGCCAGGTGCGCCATGCGTGCAAGGCTGTCTCGGAGCTTTGCAATTTGCTCTCGATGACTTTTCTCCAGCAAGGTATACTTGTCGTCTTCACCGCTGCAAACATCATGTATGATGGATAGAAAATTACGCCGTGACGATCGAGCTGCTCAAGAAGGCTGAAATTCTCACCGAGCATCTTCCCGAAGAGCGGGCCACAACGCTCAACAATATGGCGTGCTACTACCGCCGGTACGCTCTCCCTCGCCGACAAATCGCTCAAACAGTGAAGGATTGGAAAGCTCCATGGCGCTCTCAACTGCCTCAAGCGGGCGCTTGAGATCGAGCTGCGCATTCAAAAGGTCAGTGCGACGGCGGACACGCATTTGAACTTGTGCGCCGTCTACTCGACCATGGGGAAGCACCCGTCGGCGCTCGAGCACGCCCAAGCAGCGCTCATCGTGCTGCATGAAGAGCTGTTCAGCCAGGGTCCGCGACGAAAAGAGAGTGCACAGATATCTCACGCGAGCGGTAGGGAAGGACTTGGAGCAGCTTGACCACCGGCGAGACCGCGTCTCGGTGCTTTGCATTGCCTACCACAACATTGGCGTCGAGTACGAGTACCTCAAGCAGTTTTCCCACTCGGTCGCGTCGTATCAAAAGGCTCGTCAACTTTAGTTACGCTATACTCACAATAGACATTTGCGTAGGGAGTTGGCATTGCCGAGCAGTACCTCGGGCCCGTGAATGGAGTCACGATTACACTCACCAACTCGTACACTTCAGGTATGAGCGACCACGTACCGATGGTGATACCTTAAGAGGATCGTAGCTCGACGCACGCTGCAGACAAAAGCCAAGCGCGAAGCCAAGGGCAGCCCGACCAAGAAGCAGCCGAGCCCAGGCAAGTCGGCAACTCGCGTCATCGGCGGCAGCTTCGACTTTGATGTGCTCGTACGTTGGCTCGCGCGCTGAATAAAGGTACAAGTCCTTCCTAGAGCGGAGAAGGAGCAACTCGGCTCGGCGACCGAAGTCCGTCGCGGAAGGAGCTGCCACCACTCGCAAGCATATCCAAGATCAACGAGGCAGCTGCGGCTACCATTGCTGCCCCGGCGGCCCCGGCCTTCCTACCGCTGACACCCCACAGCGCCTTTTTCAGCCCCCGGTCCGTCTCGCCAGTCAAACCACTGCACCCGCTGCCGGACGCGACGCTCAATGTGCTCGACGACGCACCGTCGCCGACGCGTCGCAAGGTTCTCGAGCCGCTACCAACGCGCGCATCTACACCAGACGGCGTGCGCCCAACGTCCCCGCAGTTCGACAAGCAACGAGCCGACGATAGTGAGCTCAGTGGCCGCGCTACGACGCCGCAGAGCTCCGTCGCGTCTTTGCGAATGGACGAGTCGCCTCCCAAGAGCGCACCCTTGACTCGCGATAAGTCCAAGTCGTCTAGAAGAGAAGAAATGCCAACGAGCAGCAAGTCACGACGCTCTTCCAAGGATGCAACAAGCTCGGGTCGCAAAACGCCTCCGTCGCCGTCCAAAGAAGCGCAGCTGTCGGTCAGCAACACATCGCCGCATGTCGCCGCAAGCCACGACCAAAGTCTACTACTAGCGGACGACCATACGAGTCTGGAGGTTGCTTCGGCAATGCCAACGGCGGTCATCGAGGCGAATGCATCGGTGGTACCTCGCGATGCTGCGGAACCGTCCATGGCAATGGCGGACGAAGCTCGTGCTCCACCGAGAGACGTGCCTTTTACTCCTGCCAACGACGATGCGTTGACGCCACCGACCATCGAGTCGACGCCGTCACCTGCTTTGCACACGAGAGAGTCTGCCGCAGATCCAGTGGCGCCCGAGGTGTCGATCGTCCCCGAAACGAAGACGTCAACGGACATCAGTGTACAAGTCGCTGACGACGACACTCCATCGCAAATGGTGCAGTCTCGTACCGTGCAAGTGGTGCCTGATGGGCACAGCGGGCTTCTCGCGCAGCCAATAGAGTCGAAAGATCTAGTGGCGGCGATGGAACTGCCTTCTACACCGAAGGCATGTGCCAGCGTCGCCGAGACAGTTTCCACACCTCAGCTACCGCTAGCTTTTGTCCAAGTTTCCTCGCTTGCGTCCGAGCCAGCCCGAGATGTTTCACCAAGAGCGACATCCTCCACTGATGTCGAGGTTGAGCGACCAAGTGTTTCTATCACAACGGACGATGTCCCGACGACAACGAGAAGATCCGAAGGCGTCCTCCGCACGTCGCCACGTCCAGCAACAGTAGCAGAAACGGAAAAGCGACAAGTGACAGAGGTCTGGTTGACAACAAACGACCGACAAATCCAACCAACAGACGCTCCGATTCTTCCAGTCGCGGCGTCGGACGCGTCATTGCGCGATGCGTCAACTCCCACGTCGCCACCGTGCAGCAATGCGCCGCCAGAGCTTCCTTTCCTGCCGCTTCCAGTGGCACTTGCGGAAGACATGTCGCTCAGTGCGCTAGCAACAGCAATCCAAGAGCTGCCGCTGGTCACAACACCCGTTGAGTGCCCACCTCATTGGCTGGAAAACGCGCGGCGGGCGTCCGACGCTTGCTTGAGCAGCGTTGCTCTGAAACTTGCGATGGTGAGCGCATTGGGGTACTCGGAGGCGCCACCCACGACAATGTCAATGAGCCTCGAGGTGTCCGTTGTTGCGGCCGAGGATCGCACGAGTTTGCCGTCGGTGCAAGACACGCCCGTGCCGACTCTCAACGAGGCACCGACGCCAATGGAGACTGCGCCGTCAATTACGATGACAACATCAGACGCCGAACCCACGACGCCCTTGGAGCAAACGTCGACGCTCGACGGCTCGCTCGCTATGGAGCCCTCGACAACAGAGATAACCAACGCTACACTTGGAGATTGCGAGCCGTCAGGTGCTGCGTCGAGTTCTGCCGACACACGCTTGGACGAGCAGCAAGAACCAAACACCGTCGATGCCTCGTTCAGTCCAGCGGAGATGTCTGTGCGCGAGGAAGCGCCTTCCACCGTTAACGCCGAGCCGCTGCTAAACGCCGACCATGGTGCGGGGCTTTTGTCTGGTCGTACGCTGGCGCCCGGAATTGCAGACTCGCCGCTTGTTGGGGCAGAGCTCGAAAGCGCTTGCGTTGAGTCTGAGAGTCTCTTTGACACAAGGGCTCACATGGAGACTTTGATTATGCCAGCGGCGTCGTCCATCAAAGACATCTCGAGTTCCCCGCGCAGCGATCCGGTAGCAAGCACTAGCGACAGCTTACACTTGGACGCGCGAGAAAATCCCTCGGTCGACGAACCAGCACATGAGCCTCTCGTTTCCGACAACATTGGTGCTGCGAAGAGTGCGCTCGCACTGGACGAGGCAATTGACCAAGGTGGCGACACAGTACTCGATGGCACCGCCGTAGCAGACACGCCGATTGTTCGACGTACTTCTGACGAAGAGGTACCTCGTACGGGGGCGGTGGGTGGCGCGACGCTAGATGTGGTCGACGCAGCGCCCAATGGTCTGACGAACGAGCTCGAAGGTGCGGATGCATGCGTCGACGATCGTATTGAGTCATGCGGTGGTGCACCAACACCATTGCTACATGAACCAGAGCCAGCAGAAGCAACAGCAGAAGTCGCACCTCCAGCTCAAGAAGCAATTCAGGAGGCCGTTCCTTTGGGCTCTTTGAACGCGGTCTTGGTTCATCCAGCGTCCGCGGCTGTCGCACGTCCCAGCACAGACGGCGGTGCCCTTCTGTCATCCACTGGTGCGCCAAAAGAGCTCACTCGGCCCGCCACCACGTCACGAGCAACTGCCGTGCTGCAGTCCGGAGAGTCGGACACTAGTGTGTCATGGGCACCAGTCGAGTCCGATGCAGCTTCGTGGGAAGCTCACTGGGCGACTACAGCTGCTGAGGATGGACAATACGCTGCTTTTACCGAGGCCCCGTTGTTTGAAGAAGCGCATGCATCTCAGCAGCCGTGGGCAGAAGAGCCATACGGAGCACCAGCAGAGCACACGCAAGAAGCGCTTCATTGGAGCAACCCGAGTGCCTCCGGAACCGACGTTGACGACGGCAGTCAAAGCCCTGAACCTGCGAGGACGGCAGCAAACGAATCGGCCGGCAGGATTGAGCCCACACCCGCGCATGATCGCGTCACCACGCCAGCGTCGTCATTGCTGTCGGACGACGCTGTTGATGATGCCACGACCAAGCATGCAAGCCACGAGACGCCACTGGTCCAACAATCGTTGGCGACGGCCCAGACCCTGAACCAGGCTCGAGTTCCTTCCGAGAAGCTCAAAGCACCCGACACGCCAGTGGTCGCCGCGCCTTCGACACCCGACGTAGCGGTCGACTCGTTCATCTTGTAAAATACACACATCGATTGGTATGATTACGGGCGTCTATGGGATGAAGCGTCTGGTAGGACCTTTGCTAGACTTGCTTGGCCTTGGCTTGGTACGGGTACTTGCTGTAGATGATCATGCTCGACATGACGAGCGCCGTCGCAATGCCCATGCGCAGCGAAAGCACAGGGGCGTCTGTGTCAAGCAGCGCCTCGGCGACCGCCGTGAGGAGGATGCCGCCGACGAGTGCGTACGACTTCAAGATGCCACCCGCGAGCTGCGTCACCTACTCAAGTTGAGCCTAGTTCGCCAAGTCGAGGTGTACCGTGCCGACGAGCAGCCCGCCGAGCGCGTTGGTAAACACGGGTACAAGTGTCCATGTTGTCCAGCCGCTAAAGTCCAAGGTAGCGCCGGGAGCGGCGGCGAGGTTGGCGAGGAGGAAGACAGCGCCAAAGACACAGAGCTCAATCGTCACCAGCGACGCATCGCGACCATGCGTTTGCAGGGAGAGCTGCGTGAGCGCAGCGCCAACGCCTGACAAGATGGAGGCACCGACGACAGGAACGTAGCCGTAGTAGAAGCGCGTGGACGAAATCGTCATGGCCTCGACGTCGACGTCGCTGGCAGTAGGCGCCGACAGGAGCACGGATGCCAGTAGCAGCATGCCCATGGCACCTAGTCAATACCATGTCGTCAGCTCCAAGGTAGAGATTGGTCGCACCGCATTGCTGGAGTGAGAAGGGTTTATGGAGGAAGAGGAAGACGAAAAGAGCCGTCCAGAGGAGCTTGGTCTGGTTGATCAAGTTGAACTCAAGCGGCGAGAGGTGCTGCATCGCGAGCTGGATGAGCACGTTCTGAATCGCGTACGTCACGGCGGGCAGCCCCGAGAGGCGAAGGCTGTCACGCAGCGTCCAGTGGCGCAAGAGGGCTGGCGTCGTCCGGGCCTTGAGCAAGAGCGTGGTGGTGGCAAGAAGGAGCTTGGCGCCTTCACCGACGACGACGAGCATCGTGCGGCTGGCGACATGGCCTGCGAAAGCACGGTTCAGTAGCGGCTGCAGGCCAAACTGCAGCGCCAGGGCTGCCATGCACACGGCCGCCTTCATCGTGCAAATTCAGCTGACTAAAAACACACCATTGTTTTGCGCTCCTGGTAGGCTGTTGTTCGATTTCCAGCTCAAACGTTGGGTATTTTTAGCTGCCCGTCTCGAACATGAGCGTGGCCTGTCTGCGTGGCCTGTCTGCGCGGGACCGGCAACGAGTACTGTGAGTCGTACTGCAGTGTGCTCAGATCGCGCCGTGTTCTCGCCCGACGTCGGATCGCGCACACCTGCAAGCGCATCTCGTCTGCATCTCCGGAGTAGCCAGCGCGAACGTGGGGTGCGCAGCTGGGCACGCGCTGGTGGCACCAGCTGCTGGACGACCGCAGCTGCTTCAACCCGTCGCCTTGCATGATTGTCCGAGACACAAGTTCGAGTGCATGATCCGCTAGTCTACATGTTGGTCGCTTATAATGATCATCGTCTAATCCTGCTAGTGCTACATCGTCATCCTACCCTAATCTGCCGTCGTCTCTAACTCCTAATAAATCCTACGCTACTATGGTATACTATCTAGGCCGCCACGAGCGACGCTTGGCTCATCGCGATCGCTTGCGCCAGCATCTCGGGCGTCAGGACGAGCTTGGATGCCGGCTCTTCCTTGATCTCGCCTTCTTCGACCGACATGTCGACGTCTTCGTCCGTACCAGTCGCGACCGCCGATGTGTCGAGCGTCATGAGAATGTCGAGAACCTTAATGAGCTCCGACGCCTTCTCCTTCGGGCTCTGAACCGACCGGAAGACCTGGGCGAGGTGCGCCTGCGCGCAGAGCCGCGCGACCACGTTGTTGACCGTCGAGTTGGGCTGGTCGTTCAAAATGAGCTGCGTAATGTGCAAGAAGACATCGCAGGGCAGCTTGACGATCCAGTGCATCGTGTCGTGCTCGTACGGGTAGCGCTGCGCGATCGCGTTGACGCAGAGAGCCATCATGCGGTCCGTCGACTGGTTGCGGAGGCACTTGCGCACCTCGACGACCTGCAGCAGCATCTGCACCACGTCCATGCCCGAGCCCGCGTGCGCCAGCGTCTCGAGGAGCGTCGCGCAGCGAGATGTGAGCGCCACGTGCATCTTGAGGATGCGCGCCGCGCAGTACAATAGCGCAACGTTGGTCGCGTTGATGTCCATGTTGCCAGTGTACGCGTAGATACAGGCGAGCTCAAAGGCCGCGGCGCCGCCGGGAAAATGCGCGTACTTGAGAACGGCCATGCTGCCGTCGTCCGACTGCGGCTGCTGCTTGAGCTTCGAGCGCAACTCGGGACAAGCGACAAGCATCGGGAACCGGTGCAAGTTGAATTGCGTGCCCTCGACAACCACAATGAGGTTGCACGTCGACCGGCGCGACGCCCACTCGGGGTACTCGCAGAGCGCGGGCGTGCCGAGGGCCGGCGCGGTTGTAGCCTTCTTCGTGTGCTTGAGGGCGGGCGACGGCAGGGCGGAGAGCATCTTGGCCACCTTCTTCTTCATCTTGAGCGCGTCAATGACAGGCTTGCCATGGACATCGACGTTGGCCTGGCGCTTACGACGCTTGGCCTCGGCAGCGCTGTTGGGCGTGAGGGGCTTGGGGGTGCCCTTGGCTTCGAGGACAGGCGTGAGGGCGGGCGCGACAATCGTGAGGACGGCAGGCTTGGGCGCGTGCTCGATCGGCGAAAGCGCCGGTTCGGACGCCGAAACACTCGAGTCGGTTTCGTCGAGCGCGCGCTTGGCCTTCAGACTCCGGGACTGCGACGAGACAAGGTTGCGGCAATGGCAGCACGTGGCGCGCGTGCTGTGGAGGCACGTGTCGTCCTTTGGGCACCCGAGACGCTTGCATGACTTGCCCGAGCCCTCGCGGCGCACGCCGCACTTGCCACCTTCGTGCTGGCCGCAACGGCCGTCGCACGTGCAGTGCATGCACTCGCCCGGTCGCTGGGAGCAGTTGGGTAGTGAGCAGCTCTTGCGCAGCTTCCGGGACGTCGAGAGGACCTTGTCAAACGCAGCCGACGACGTGTGGTGGTGCGAGAGAAATGACGAGGACGGCTCGGCGACTGGAGAGACGAGGATGAGGCGCGTGGCCGCCAGGAAGAGCGTCGATCTTACCGAGGTCGGTGCTCTTGGCGTACGCCAGCGTCGGGAGGTCGTTGGGAGACATGCTAGCGCCCGCACGGAAATAAGAACGCGGTCGAGTATTCGAAAATGATGGCAAGCGGCTTGGTCGCGCGTGATGTACCCAAGTTACACAGCCCACTCTATACGGCATACTGAAACCAAGACGCTTTTGGATTCAACGAATCCGAGCTACTAGCGCGACCATGTGATTGGCCGTTTTTTAATCCAGAGCATACTTTAATCCAATGAAACGCGGCGTTCTCTGTCACAATCCTTTCTCGGGCTTTGCGCGAGATTACATACTACACTGCTCCTCCCATCCTGCACGCCTTGCGCGCAAGAAGCAAGCGCTCGCAGGCTCGACGCACGACGCAGATCGCGGCATTCGGCTCTGGTCCGCCCTGCTAAAGCGGCCGCCATGTGCTGCGGCCGAATTTTTTTGACCGCCCCGCCCAGCTGAGGCCCACCGGACGGACCGGCGATGATACATCATGAAATACCTCGGGACGATAATGCTCGAGTCTCCAGAGCTCTTGGCGAGAGACCCATTGGTCACAGCAACACACGCCCGGCGCACAAAAACGACCGCGCAGAGGCGTGTCTGTGCAAATGCGCCCACGAGGCCGCCACGCGCTGCGACACGTGGCTGCGGATCAGGTCCCGTGCTGTGGTTGCTTGGCGCGGCGAATCTGCAAGGTTGGTAGACTATTTTTATTCTCCATAGAGAGTTAAAATGGGATGCAATATAATATGGAACGACCCACGTGCACCAGCTGGTTTCATACAAACAAGACGTTTAAGAAAATAGAAGCGACGCACGACGGCATTAAAAACGATTTTAAAATAGCGTACGACACGCATTAAAACCAAGGTTGACATGCGCGTCATCCCCAGTGATCGAGGTCGCCGAAGCCATCCTGTCCGCACGTTGAAGCATCAACCGACCAACATCGTTCACGCGGATGCTTCGTCCTCCTAGGTCTTCAAAGAGCATGGCATGTAGTAGCTGCCTAGAGAATTACGGCAAGCTCTTCGCACCTGCGCATCGAACGTGCCGAATTGGAGGTGGATCGGCTATCATCTCGCTTGATCGAATACCCTACATGAACGGTACTACTGCAACTCGATGACGGGTTTCGCAGGCGACGCGCCGACGGCGTTGTCACAGGCGTGGGTGGCGGCGGTTCTTTATGGCTGCCTCGTCCACGCTGTCGACCCGCTTGCATCGCACGCGTCGGTCGCCCTTCGGCCTTCGCTCTGCCCTGCACTCTACCTGGCTCCCGCGCTGGCAAGAGGCTCGGTCGCACGGATGCGCTCTGCCACTGGCGACTGTACGATCGCCATCCGCCGCCAGCGCGCCGCCACCAACGAGTACTGTGCAGTTGCCACGGTGTCATTGACACGGCGCGCTTCCATGCCACATAAACCCTTCCAGAGTGGATATTGTAATATTTGTTTCGGGAGGTACCTTGATACGCATTCAAAGTGAGAGGTCAAAAATCATCTTGTGGAGGTTCAAATCCAAGCGTCGCGACTGTTACGATCCGCTGCATGATGGAGGACGGCCGGCGGCTGCATGCGGTGGTGCCATCGGCGCCGACACGCCCGCGGAACACGCCACCGACGACGCCGACGCCACCGCCCAAACGCCTCTCGCGCATCCTCAACCTGCACGACATGAAGAAGGCGCAACAGCCGGCCGTCGACACGCCCGAGAAGGCGCAACTCGCCGAGCGCATCTACGCCAAGGGCGTCAAGCGCTCGCTTCAGCACACAGCCATGTACCCGTCTAAAGCTACGTCCAACGCGGCCAAGATGGGGCCGTTCGTTGCGACGCCCCTCGTGAATCGCCCTGCGGCGGAGAAAGTGCTGGTGCCCCGGCGGCCGGCTCCAGCCTCACCGACAACCATGCCACCAGTGCAGCTCGGCTTTCAACCTTCGAAATGCACATCACCTCGTGTTGCCGACACTGTAAGCCGCGTTGCCGCGCCACCGCTGAGTACGCGCGACGCCTTCTATTTGAGCCAACGACCACCGGCAACGCCAAAAAAGCCTGCGCCGGCTGTGCCTACCGTGACGCCACCCGCGGTGGTTGTCGAGCATCGACCAACGCGTGCGACGCTGCTTCACAAGTCAACGCACTTGCAAACTCTCACGGAACAGGTCGAAGCAAGCATTTCGGAGCCAGATGGTGTGCCAGTGGATGCTTTCTTGTACTTGCGGAGCGCCGAAGACGACCCGTATGAGCTGCGCGCGGTCGACCACGACAGTATCGACAGCGGCAGCTACTACACGATGAGTCGGACTGGTATTACGCACTTTACGGGTCACGGGCAGCCCGAATTCACGCGGCTCGAGGCGTTTGAGCGCGAGCACTACATGTTTACGCTCGTACGCCAAATCCCATTCTTCCTAAAGTACCGCGTCTGGAAGCAGTTCCGGCGCTGGAAGTCCAACGTCCGCGCCGTCAAGACACGCGCCGCCACCTACATGCTGCAGCACGAGCTCTTTGTGCTGCGTCCGACGTGCGTCCGTAGCTATGGAAATCACGATTGCTCAAGTGGCTCGTAGGTTGCATTCGGCGCTCATGGAGCTCCGAGCGCAGTGCTACAACCTTAGTCTTCTCCGCATCTTTGGCATCGATGCGACCAAGACGTATACGCTGAGCGACTTTACCGAGACGCAGCAGGCGCAGATCGTGGCCACCGACAACGCGATTGGCGCCATGGTTCGCGACGTCCTGGCGACAACGCAGGCCACGTGCAACGCCTTCCTTCGCGCCTTTCTGCTCGAAAACGGCTTTACCACGCGAGACGAGCTGCCTGACGACGTCAGTCGCATTTTGTGCCAGCTCGCGTCGCCACCCGGCGCCGACGACGATGAGAACGCGGCGAGAAACGAAGCGAGTCGGCGGTCCGTGACGTGGGCCAACGGCCGCGTCGTGACGTTCACCGAGCGCGCGGCGATGCGCACGCAGTGCCGCAGCGTTGCCAAGCTCATTCGACTAGTCGAGTTTTTTGTCGTCGACTCCCTCCTCCTCCTCGGGCTATGCAGCACGCACGAGCTGCTCACAGAGATGCAGCACATTGTGCAGGCCGTGTCGGACGTGGCGCCGCCGCCCAAACCGATTGGCGGAAAACTGCTTTTGAAGCCGCCGCCTCCGATCGCACCGCTCTTCCGCGTCGAGGTGCGCTTGCACTTGACGACACTCCACGACGGCAGCGTGCGGTCGCAGCTGCTCTTCGACCCGAGCTGCGAGGAGCTGCGTGCTGAGCTCGAAGGCATCGTCAGTGCCGGTCTCCGGGCCGCGACGTCGAGGCCACGGCTCATGGCCGATGCAGGCTTCGGCCCTTACGTGCAGTCGACGCTAGACGACGATGTTGGCGAGCTCAGCCCTGGCTTGAACCTCGATATGATGGTGATGGAGGACGCTGCGTTCCAGGACCTCCTTGCCCGCATCTCGGGCGTCGTCACGGGAGCGTTCGATGCACTCGCCGTCTTCGCCAAGGGCCTCGCGCGCTTTGAGGCGCAGTACATTGCCAACCTCGCGTTCATCAAGGTCGCGGGCGACGTCGAGCACCCGATCAACCTTGGCCGGTCGATTGACGACCTGCGCCACCAATTGGTCGCCTACTCGACGCAGATAACGCAGTTTGAGGCGCTGCCCGACACAACGACCGTCGGTCTGCTTCTCGCCGACTGCAAGGACCTCAACGACCTTCTCAAGCCAAGCCCGCGGGCATGCATGCACTGCTTGCACACGCTCATTCCGCGCATCGCGCAGTTCAAGGTACGTCTCGCCACAAAATATGAAAGGTCGAGACGCCGGGTGTAGAACGAGGAGCTGCTGACTGAAGTCTCGCGCGCCAACGACGCGATTGCTTCGATCCCGACGACGGTCGACGAGTACGCGGCCGCGCTTGTAGCGCTGCGTGCGACGGAGGCGCGCATGGCCGACCTGGACGATCGCTACATGTTTCTCAAGCAGCTCTATGCGCTCACGGACGAATTCAAGATCCCAGTACGTTGCCTCTGCGACGACGCTTCGAAATGATACACGCAGGTGTCGGACATCGATGCAACCAACGCGTTCATGCTGGCGCAGAAGCGCGCGCAGCTCAAGACGTCAATGGATCTGTTGGAGAGCGGGTCGGACGCGTACACGGACAAGTTTTCCAAGGAGCTCGACAAGAAGATTTTGAAACTCAATACGCTCGTCCACGAACGGTACCGTCCCGTTGATAGAGCCACGTACAATGGCGCCGTGTAGACGGGATGAGCTCCATAATGCAGCACTGGTGGCCGTCGGCAGCGACGCCGCAGAGATCCTAACTCAGTTGCGAGGCATCGACGGCCGGCTGCAAGAGTTGGAGGCGATCGGCGTCAAGTACATTGAGTTTCAGACAGTGCTTGGGCTCGCACAAAGCTCGTTTCAAGACATTGACGAGCTGCGGTACAATTACCTACTAGAACACGCGAGCACAGAGCTCAACACTCGTGTAGCGTGGACCTCGAGGTCAAAAAACTGCTCTGGACGACGGTCCAGGCGTGGGCGGCGGCGTCCGAAACGTGCAGAGACACCCTCTTGTCGGATGTCGACGTTGCAGAGGTCGACGAGCGCGTGAATTGTTTCTACAAGACGACGCTTGTCTGCGAGCGCGGCCTCCCGGGCAACGCCGTCGTGCGGCAGCTGCGCGAGACGGTCGAGGCGTTCAAGGACGCGCTTCCAATCGTCGCCGACCTTCGCTGTCTCCACTTGCGTCCCCGGCACTGGGCGGCGGTGCGCCCTTTCTTGCAGACACCGTGTTTGATCGAGTGCGTGTAGATCAGCGCGGTCTTGCAGTTCGACGTGCTCGCAGATCCGTCGTTGACGCTCGGGCGATTTGTGAGCCTGCACTTGCACGCGAGCGCTCCGGCCGTCAACCGCATCGCGATCGAGGCGACGCAGGAGGCGACGTTGGAGGCGACGCTCGCGCGCATCAACCGGCTCTGGGCCGAGCTTTCGTTCGACGTCAAGTGCCACAACGACCGTCGCGACGTGTTTGTGCTCGGGCCCACGGACGACGTTGCGAGCGCGCTCGAAGAAAGTCTCGTCTCGATGAGCACCGTTCTCGCGTCGCGCTTCGTCGAGCCTGTGCGCGACGAAGCGCTGGCCTTGCACCGCCGATTGCTGCTCTTCCAAGGTCTATAGTTTGGAAAGCTTCTCGAGTGCTGAGTTGATGTATGGATAGAGACGCTCGATGAATGGCTGACGTGCCAGCGAGAGTGGATCTACCTCGAGTCGATCTTTATGGCGCCCGACATCCAGCGCCAGTTGCCGCAAGAGGCGCAGGCGTTTGGCACGATCAACACGTTTTGGAAGGAGCTCTTGTTGCGCGCGCACGAGACGCCACTGTGCATGAAGGCGACTGCGCAACCTGGGCTCCTCGAAACGCTTGTCAAGCACAACGGTACGTGCGCGGCTGGTGCAGAGAACGTCAAGAGACAGCGTAGCGTCCCTCGAGAAGCTGCGCAAGTCCCTGGAAGACTACCTCGAGACGAAGCGCATGGCGTTTCCGCGCTTTTACTTTCTCGCGAACGACGAGCTGCTCGAGATTCTGGCGCACACGAAAGAGCCGCTGGCGGTGCAGCCGCACTTGTGCAAGCTCTTCGACGGCATCGTGCGCCTCGAGTTTGGCGAGGCCCACGGCTCGATCGACATTCTCGCCATGCACTCGGCCGAGGGCGAGCGCGTGCCGTTCGGCCGCAACCTCAAGGCCCGCGGCAACGTCGAGGACTGGCTCGCCGCCGTGCAAGCCAATATGAAGCTGACGCTGCACCGCACGCTCAAAGGTACTCCGTGTAGCGTCATGCGTCGACCAGGTCACTGAGAGTTGTAGTGTGCGTGGGAGACTATGACCACGGCCAGCGGGACTCGTGGCTGCTGCACCACCCCGCGCAATGTGTCGCCAGCGTCACCTACATGGTCTGGGCGCGCGAGTGCGAGGCGGCGCTGCCCGTGCCCGGCGGTGTCGACAAGTACCGGCAACTCGTGCTCGTGCAGCTGACCGGCCTCACGCGCCTCATTCGATCGTCGCTGACGCGGCTCCAGCGGTGCGTCGTCACGTCGCTCGTCACGACGGACGTGCACGCACGAGACATTTTGAGCGACCTCGTTGCGCTTAACGTCACATCGACCCACGACTTTAACTGGAAAAAGCAGCTGCGGTAGAGCGACGCGCGGCTCTTGCATCCGTTGATTGCGCGTTGTAGGTACGGCTGGAACGCCGACGTCGACGACATGACGATCACGCAGTCGAACGTGCGCATTCGCTACGGCTACGAGTACATGGGAGCTTGCGCTCGCCTTGTCATTACGCCGCTGACAGACCGTTGCTGGATGACCATCACAGGCGCGTACGACCTCAAGCTCGGTGCTGCACCGTCGGGCCCGGCCGGCACTGGTGCGTTGCATGCGTCGGCTCGGTATCAAACGTCGTGTAGGCAAGACCGAGACGTCGAAAGACCTCGCGAAAGCACTCGCGATCCAGTGCATTGTCTTCAACTGCTCGGACCAGATCGACTACAAGACGATGGCCAAGCTCTTTTGTGGCCTCGCCCAGTGCGGGTGCTGGTCCTGCCTCGACGAGTTCAACCGCATCGACATTGAGGTGCTCTCTGTTATCGCACAGCAGCTCACGCTCCTGCGCCGCGGTCGCTTGGTCGGCGCCGCCGACATCTCATTCGAAGGTCGCGTGATCACGCTGCGGGACCATCACGTCATTGTAACTATGAACCCTGGCTATGCTGGTCGTACTGAGTTGCCCGATAATCTCAAGGTACATACGCGTGGCCTGTCTATGTGTGTCTTATACGTCGTGTCGTTAGATTTGCTTTCGGCCAGTCTCGATGATGGTGCCCGATTACGCACTCATCGCCGAGATCATGCTCGTCGGCGAAGGCTTTGACGACGCGAGAGGCCTCTCGCACAAGATCACCAAGCTCTACAAGCTTTGCAGCGAGCAGCTGAGCCAGCAGCCGCACTACGACTTTGGCATGCGCGCGGTCAAGACCGTGCTTCTCATGGCGGGCATTTTCAAGCGGCAATCCACCACAGCATCAAGCAGCTGCGAAGATGCCGTGATTCTAAGGGCGCTGCGCGACGCCAACACGCCCAAGTTTACTACCAACGACCTCCGGCTCTTTGGCGCGATATTGCGCGACCTCTTCCCACTCATGCACGTGCCCGAGTCGCTCTCGACGGCACTGGAGGACGCGGTCGTGACGCAGACGCGGCTGCTCGGGTACTTTAAACTGTCCGGTGGGTGCAATCTGACGGTACGAATAGGCTTCAGGAAGTGGCCGCTCTCACGCGAAAGACGATCGAGCTCTTCGACATGCTGCAAGTGCGCGTCGGTATCGCGCTCACGGGGGAGACCTGTAGTGGCAAGACGACGAGCTACGATCTGCTGCGCCGGTCCATGGGCGACCTCCGCGACAACGCCGACAGCAGCGACAAGCGCTACCAGCGCGTCGTGCTCACGGTGATGAACCCCAAGTGCGTGAGCTTGGGCGAGCTCTACGGCAGCTTCCACCCTATCACACGCGAATGGAAGGATGGACTCGCGTCTGCGCTGCTCCGTGGTATCATTGCGGATGCTGTGGTACAAAAAGCAGTTTGATCGTATCAAGCTTGCAAGATACATGCTACGCTAGGACGCCAAGACAGGTGTCGAGAAGGCGTCTTTACCGTGGCTCGTCTTTGACGGGCCCATCGATGCATCCTGGATCGAGAACCTCAACACCGTCCTCGACGACAACATGACGCTGTGCTTGGCGAGTGGCGAGCGCATCCGGCTCCTTCCTCATGTAGCAGCGCACGCGATGGCCGAGAGGACTGATACGTCGATAGATTCGCCTGCTTTTTGAAGTGGGTGACCTCGCGTCGGCGTCGCCAGCCAGCGTCTCGCGCCTCGGCGTCGTGTACTTTGCGCCCATGACGCTCGGGTGGCGGCCGTTCGTTGAGTCGTGGCTCAACGAAACCCTCGGGTCCGACGTCGACCCCAAGTACGTGTCGCACAAGCTCCGAAGTCGCGTGAGCAAGGCGCTCGAGGTGTTCTTCGAGGCGCTGACGTCGGTGCATCAGCGCCA